AGAGAACCCCGCGGAAGTCATGTCTCGCGCTTTACCTATGCTCAAGTTGTTTAAAACTATTACGTTGTTATTAAGATGATAATAGGACAATGAATGAGAGAAGGGGCGAGGGGTAATAAAAGTACAGAAAAGAACGTTCGAGATCAATTACTTTCCTGCTGCACAAGCCAGATCAGATTCTTTTGCAAAATGTGACTCACTATCTTTGGATGGCTCAAAGTCAGACAATGAAAAGAGGAGATGGAACAAGAACGGGCGAACAAATAATCGTTGCACAAAAACAAAAAAAATGATCGTTGTTATTGTAACGCGCGATTGTGCGCGTTAATAACATCAAACACGCATGCATCTTGACAACGGGGCGAGGAAAGACATTTCCTACGAATGCATCATTTAAATGATACGGCAAATGGAAAGAAGCTAGAGACTCAAGAGTTTACACGATGGCAGATAAGAAACTTCGACCCCGCGCTTTAAAATGTGATTTCTTCTGCCTATCCTTAATTTCATTGATTATATTATTATTATTATTAATATTTTATTAATATTATTATTATTATTATTTCGTTTAATAAACTGTCACGTGTTGAAATAAAGGCAAAGGAGAGTTTCTCGACATGTGATGCTGAGTTATTTTGTTTTCTTTGTTTTCTGCGTCAAGGCGATGAATTTGCTTTCGGCCTTTCTTCCTTCTCTTTCACCATACAATCGTCCCTCCTTTCGTCCATTGTTTTATGTAGTGTCTCAACTTTACACTAGCGATTGTTAATTTTGAAAAAAAACGACATTTATTTATCGATGTTTCGATTTTTAGACTGAAATAAAATAGAAAATTCACAAAGAGAACATCGAGCGAATAAAATAATGTAAATGGCTCACCTATCGTATTTTAATGTTTCCATAGAGATATTGAATGTCGGAACACACACGTTAAAAGTGACTGGGGCAAAGAATATCACATCAATTTAATTTGCATTTGAATCCGTAAGTACACACATACGATCTCTCGTTTCGTGATACAAATACTTAAATAAATTATTTTCTTATTCGAAAAATCCAATAATAAATACTGTAATATACTTGAATTAAATATTACGCAAGGATATATTGTCTCGATACCTATTTCTTAAAACTGTCATTGTTAAAATATATTGTTATCGGAAAAAAAACGAAATATATTATTTGTGTTTCCCCTATCACATAATCTCGCGTACTTACGGATCACGTAGCATAAATGATATGAGAGAATAAAATGGTCTCTATAATCGATTTTGTTCTCAATCGCACTTTCAGTGCACGTTCTTCACCGTTTCGTTAAAAAAAAAAAAAAAAAAAAAAGCGAAAATTAACTTTTTACACTCTTGAGTCAGCGGTGTTTGTTTCGTTGAAAATATTTCGTATGAAATTTGACTTGTCACTGTTTTAATCCGTTTCGTCCAAATATATCTTGCACCAAGTCGGAGAGTAAAATAGGATGTATACTTTTCAATTTAGCGGAAATAAAAAAAAAAAAAAAGACAGTCAACACGCGTGAAAACATAAAGCAATATCCTACTCAGCTATTGTAACTCATTATACTTGTGCGGTAAAAGAGTGAAAAGAAAAGCGTTTTCACGCTAAAGCCGTCACCGCGACTCTCCCTTCTGTCGTACGCCACTTGGTTTCCCATTGTTCGTCACTCGGATCATTTCATCCTTCGCTGACTCTGTCGCAATTCTCCATCTCTCGTTTCTTACGTTCGATTACGATAAATTTCGCGAGACACTCGAGCGCACTCGGTTCCAGCGCTCCGCGTGAGCACTGCGCGGACAGATGCCGTCCAATCATTCTTTCGTCGTATATACAAGGGCAAGGAAGATCGTGTGTCATATAACACTAACGGGAATTTTTCCTCTATCCTTCTACGATATATGTTCTCGCGCCAAAGAGTACCGGTTTCGGGCAAAAATGATAAAAGATCAAAGAGAAACGGTGTTCGCAAGAATCGATCGACGAGGTCGTTCTTGGCTACTTGCGCGCGATCAGTTCCTTCGGATGACAACGATCTTTTTGGGAGAGACGCGAGAAAGAAAAAGGTAGTAGAATTCACTCTCCTTTAGCAATACTTAGCAAGCACACACGGGGAGGGAGGGGGCACACGAAGCCCTTCGAAATGGGAGAAAAGGGTTGCGGATGTCAATGCGCGATCGTTTGACGCAAATAAATTTCGCATTTGAAGCAATAATTTACAGTCTGCGAGTCAATCGTCGAGTGTGCGAATGCAAACGGAGAAACTTTGACTTTCTCTCTTCACGACAAAATTGCGTAGCGAGGAACATTTCGCATTATTGAAATGATTTAATAAGAGCAGATAAGATATAGAGAGACTGTATACTACCGATCTCCTAGCGAAATCTAGAAACTACTGTATGTATATTCTTTTAATTAAACGCATCTACGATATTCAATAGCAACGAGATCCATCAGATTATTCCATCTTGAAGAAAAAGGCTTCGCGCAACCTCACTCTTTATATATATATAATATATATATA